CGTTGATTTGATACGTGAATATACACGGGATAAGGAACTACGATAAATTTGTGCCGTGGCACTGTAGAGCTCAGTCACAGGCTCTTCCTTCGCCTGAATGTAACCAAATAATTAATATCACGAATGTCATGAAAGCTGTCATTTATATCTTCACGTGTTAAGAGATATGGGATTATGTAGTTCTGACATTCGTCATATCAATTGTCATCACTTGCTTGACAACGATATTACTGACTGACTGAGTTTGGTTTTACGCCGCTTTTAGCAATATTCCAGCAACATCACGGCGGGGGACACCAGAAATGGGCTTCACACATTGTACCCATGTGGGAATTCGAACCCGGTGTAGCAGCCCAGAATAACCCCCACCAGATTATACCCCGGGGTAAACTATAGGCTAGCCAGTTTATACCCCGGGGTATATTCTGGACTAGGCCAAAGTATACCCCTCCAGCCCAGACTATACCCCTAAAAAATGATCAATTATCATCAATCTAATTAGAGCTGTACCATTATGGAGGTGGGTGTTGTCTTAATTAATACCCTACTCCACTGTCTAACAACTGGCTGTCTAACTAATAGGAGATAACCGGTGTGAGAAAAAGTGCATTTCATTTCGCATCCTATATCACATTCAACCTTCAACATGGATGACAACCTCTATACCCAGATCTTGAACTTCTACACCAACTCTGATAAGAAGTATCCTCGGCACATCTATGACCTGGATCCTGACACGCGTTTGAATGCGAAGTCACATTTTCGGCAAACTGCAAAGCCATTTCGGGTAGCAAACGGAATTGTCTTCGTGGTGAAAAGGAAGTGCTCACCAAAAGCCGCCTACCCAGCATCCTGAAACATCACTCAGTGAGTACATCACTAATTCGGGAATTTCACGAGATGGAGTGTGGGCAACAGATGCAGAAGTTATGTCAACAGCCAGTCTGTTAAAATGTGACATATATATTTACAGTGCAGTTTGTCAGTCAATGCAATGGCTGATGTACCCCTGCCAGCTTCCAGCTTGAAAACTCACACTGATTATGCTTTGTATCTGGAAAATGTATCGGATCATTTCAATGTTGTAACCAGTGTTTAATTGCGGAGAATACAATAAAATTATAGTAGTATCCTTAATCACTTGTTTTCTGTAGAGGTATAATCTGGGCTGGGGGTATACTATGGCCTAGTTCAGAATATACCCGGGTATAACTAGGCTAGCCCAGATTATACCTGGGGTATAGTCTGGAGCTAGCCCAGTTTAACCCCGGGTATAGTCTGGGACAGGGTGTATACTCTGGCCTGTTACACCGGGTCTTCGGCGTGACGAGCCAACGCTTTAACCACTAGGCTACCCCACCGCCCCTGACAACGATATTAAACTCTATGTCGAAACGGTGAGGTGACATGAGGTTTAACGTCGTGCTTGAGAATATTTCGCTCATATGACGACGTGCATGCGTGTGTATGTGTATGTGTGGCTGCTTGTACCAGCCCAGACTTAAGCTGGTTTTATAGTGCTAGCCCACTGAGATACCATGCCGCATTTAAGCATGAATACCCCACTCAGACACATTATACTGACTCCGAGCCGACCAGTCCTTGTTGTACCCATAAATGCTGAGCGCTAGGCAGGGACCAACAAGTACCATATTTAAACATCTTTTGGTATGACGCGGCCGGGAATCGAACCCGCGACCTTCCGCTCTCCGGGCGGACGCTTATGTCGAAACGTCGCCTTTCTTAGAATAAAGATGTATATGCATACAAATTATCACCTCAACTTCTAAAATTCCCATCAAAGAAGTAATTCGTGATATCAATTGACCTGCAAATATTCAAGCTGCGACACAACCGCTTGCGAGCTTACCTGGACACACATATTGTTTCAAAATGTCAACAATGTTTTGTCAGGAAGTGTAATTTGTCGTTTTATTGTTTCATTTCAATGGTTAAAGGGACAGTAATCGCGGAAAGTCGGCACACGAGTCTGCAGTGTAATGAACGGAGCGAGTGTTGTTTTACGCTGAAGCCGGCAACGTAACAACAATACTTCACCAAACTGCTAACCATGGACCCCTCCACGATTCCCGGCTAGGAGTGTTGCCCAGCAACCAATGCTGGTCGTTTTCGGCGACCAATTGGATCGATTGGTCAGGCACGTAGACTTACATCCTGTCTCAGAAGTGAACATAATATTCTACCCAAAAAAGGTTCTTACATTACAGTAACAAAACAATGAAAAGGAGCCCAAAGACTTTCTTTTTCAGAAACTTCAAAAGTTCAGACTTGACACATATTACAGACATGCATGGAGTGAGTGAGTGAGCAAGCGAATATTGCTTAAAGCTGCATCAGCAATGTTGCAGCTATTCTTTGTAAAGAGGTGTATGATAAGAATCACTTTTTGCAGTTCTTCTGGACAAGACAATGCCAGTGGCCTCTATGATATTGAAATCCACTAGGCAGTAGTGGTGTTCCGATTAATTGAAATAATCGAAGATTGGTCGCAGTGACCGAACGACCAAGCAATCGATCACATTTTCTCATAATCGAACACGAACGATTTTGGAACTGCTGTTTTAGTCTTTGAAACACTTGACGATGGAACATATCTTCCTGCAAACTTTACTAACTTGAAAAGTCACTTCACTGAATATTCATGACTGAAGACTTCTTGAAGACTTTATGGTTATGTTCATGATATATTAGTCATTACTTTAAAGTAGCAAGTTGCATCATCTTATACCTATCTGCAATAACAACCTGGATAGGAAATCTGAAAAATGATGCTAACCAATGTTTTTCGATGATTGTTCGTTGGTAATGAAGCAATCATCAATTGTGAGATTTCAACCAATTCCCAATACTACTAGGCAGAGTTGATACCATCAGCAACCATGGATACAATCAGGACGTCCTGATCAGCGTCCTTCCACAACATAATTTTCAGGACAGTCGTCTTGTCAAGCAAACTGAATTTCAGACGTTTCCTGTGACACCTGAATCTTGTTCAAGTATCATCCTGGAGTCCAAACTAAACTCTGTCAATAAATGTAGCATGGTGTGAGCCTAATTACAACAAACACTTAGTTAACATCATCAATTTATTGAGTTCATTCTGTTTATCAACAGTGTAAGGCACTGAAACCACCCATTTCATTGTTAGGACAATCATTTGGCAATATTTACATGAACAATGTGAAAACATACATTTTCCAGTTTTTACTTATTTTTAATACAATAAATAGACTCAAATTGTACCACTTCGAACAGTAATGCCAAAAAGGAATTGTTCAGGCAAGAGCATCAGGCATCAATTTTAAACATGTTCTACTGAGAAAAATCTTGCCCAAATCTGTAGGACAGAGTAACACTGTTAATCCAGGTCCATACAGATATACTTCAAAATATCCGTATTTCAAAGGCTGATATGAAAAACCCAGTGCCTTGAGTAATTATGCACAATAACTGAGTTTAAGGTATCTTTGTAGGAATACGTTCTAGAATCACTCTTCGGATAGTTACTGTGAATGACTTACCAAGTTCAATCTATGACTTGGATCATTTGATATACCCTTAAACAATATTTCATTAACTGTAACAAAACAATATTTGAGATTACTCACATGGGCACAATGCAGGAAGACCATTTTTTATTTCCCCTTCCGTGATATAGCTGGATTGGCATATAACTCAACTCACACACTCACTGATATACACTTACAACAATATTTCATTAATTGACAAAAAAAAAAATAATTTTTTTAAATTGGAGAATACCCAATCGCGATTTGTGATTTAGAGGTGTCAAATCACAGTAACATCATGTCAACAAAATGTAATTATACACCCTCTCTTTTGACAACCCCTTATATCCTGTCTCGTCCAGTCACTCATGTCTTCAACACTACACAATCTTCCATATAATATTTGACAAATATTCAAACTTCAATAACACATTGCTGAAGCATAAACAGCTTATCCACTTTGAGCTGTGAAAACTTACTCGATCCGATCTATTTATAAATACCAATATGACTAGCCCATTTCTATTCAATTCATCAGTATACATAACATTTCTTTTTTAAAATATCCTAAATAGGCCTAACTTTGCTATTCATTCTGTTGAGCACAAGATGTCCTGCCTGTCCTTCAGTAGGTTCAATCAGATTCAGCGTCATCCTATGTGCTACCCCAGACAGTTAAGCATCATTTGATTCATTGATATTACTACAATTAATCTGTTGTGGCAATACAAATTAGCTATAATATTAAATATGAAAAGGCTTTTTTAAGCTATACACACATATTAATATAATTCCTATTATTTGTTTGCAATACAGTATCAGTCCCGACAATAACATAATGGATGAAGGCTTAAGAAGTGGGATTCCAAGCCCTGTTTATATTAACTGACACACCTTAATGACAGGAAACAAATTCATTTTAAACATGGAAACACGGATAAATAAATGATTTTCCTGCCATCTTTGTTTTGATTTGAACCCACCAGCACTCCAGAAAAATATCAGAGCCTTTATTAACTCACATGGAACACGTGCCATAAAATCTGAGTGTCATGCATGTCTAAATGACATTAATAAAGGCAAAACATTTATGCTTATTCAGATTGCAGCAGAGCTAATTAATTATGGGTGATGCCAAGCGACTCCAAATTAGTTGGGTAATGGCTCCAGAAAGTGTACAATGTGGATGAGTTGCTTGGGAAATATCATGTAGGTTATCAGTTGTCTTGTCTGGATTACCAGGGAGATATTACTCTAGCTATAAGCTGTCTTCCTGCTGTTCATGGCACTCTGTGACTGTGGGCATGTTACTTGGCAGACATTACATAGATCATAAGCTGTCCTCCTTCTATTCCAGGGCCTAAATTTTCGAAGCTCTCTTATCGCTAAGGTAGTCGTAAGTTAATGTTAAGGTATGGCACTTACGACTATCTTAGCGCTAAGAGAGCTTCGAAAATCTAGGCCCAGGGCCTCTGCAAGTTTGGATGGGGTGCCAGGGAAATATTACCCTAGCCATAAGCAATCTTCAGGAACTCTATTCCAAGAATACTGTGAGTGTGTTGCTAAGGAGATATCCCACAGGTTATAAGAATGTCTCCCTTGCATTCCAGGATCTTTGTGAATGGGGATGTGTTGCTAGGGAAATATCACACAGGCCATCAGCTGTCCTCCTGCTGTTCCAGAAACTCTGTGAGTGTCGGTTTGTCGATTGGGATAAGTAAATGTTCCACACCATCGTAGCTCTGTGATAAGAAAGGGATGTATACGTTAACGCATTTAAAAGAACCAGCACTCACGTAACAATTTCACTCAGTAGGAAATCCAGTATGACATGTGTGTGATTACAAATAATGTATTATTATTCAATATTGAATCTAATATAAATACATTAGGGAAAATCACCCACCTTCTTTGATCTGATAAGCTTATGGTCCCTGAATTCGATGAGTTGTGCCTTGAGAGTGAGGTCCGAGTTGACGAGGAACGACTCCCGACATCGCTGATACAGCTCACTGAAAGACATGCCTGAAACAAACAACATCAGTCAATAACCATAAACACTTTATTGACAGTATTTAGTGTGATCATTTTGAAGAGAATGGAGAGACCACATACATCTCAACTGATCCACACAAAGTCTATTTAAAGAATGGGAACAGAAGCTGGGTTTGAGCCTTTGAGATTTTAGCATAGAATTGATTGATTGATCCCATAAATCTACAATTGTCAACATAATGATTATTAAAGTGAATATGTCTGGTTTAATGTTGCTATAAACAACATATCAGTTATGGCATGCCAGCTTGATGTAGCAGGAATCCCAAACTGATGTAGGTGCTGAACATTTACCATGTTGGTGTGATGCTGACAAACCTATAAGCATAATAATAATAATAATGCTAATTTTTGCACCTAGAATACAACGCGATGCTGTTCTCTGGCGTTACATTATTACCCTGTGGAATTGTACTTTCAAAGCTGCTACTAAGAGCTAAGCGCGACCGTATAGGTCCGTACATCCGATTTTCAGGTACCCATTTTAAACAGCTGGGTGGTGTGAGTGCAATGTGGAAGAAGTGCCTTGCCCAGGGCACAACACAGTATGAGACCCAGGTCACAAATTTTGGTGTCTCCACCGGGATTCGAACCCAGGCCTTTGGCGTGAGAGGCCAGCATAATCAGAGGGAAACCCAGGACTAGAACCCACAAACATAAGATTCTGGTACACTGAAGGGAGATAACTCTTCAACTGCAGCTCCTTAGGTGACCAGGCCACCTGTGCTGCATGTTTAAGACAAAGAACCCTAGACCATATGCCATTTTGAAGACTGTACCTATATACGTAGCGTTCTCCTTGTTCTCTTGTTGGTGTTTGGCCAGGAGGAGGAAGATGCCCTTGGCGTTGGTGGTGAGACTCTTCATGACGTGGGTGAGGGAGCTCAGAGCCAAGGCACCGGTCTGCTGCACAAGCAGGGAGTTCTCGTACGACGTCTCGGAAGAGTAGGGGATGTATGTGGTGGTGTCGAAACACAGCCAGTTGAAGCGACAGCACTTGGTATGGTCCCAAACTGAAATACAGTGCTGGTCGATCAGCTACAGGGTCCTCCTTTGAATTCACAGTGTGTATATCTCCATTCCCCCCTTGGTGATATGGTGGAGGTCAATGCTAATGCTAATCATTACCGAGGGGGGCATTAATGTGGTCTACAGATTCAGGAACACTGCCACCTACTGAAGGGGGCATTAATGTGGTCTACAGATTCAGGTACACTGCCACACTTACTGAGGGGGGCATTAATGTGGTCTACAGATTCAGGAACACTGCCACACTTACTGAGGGGGCATTAATGTGGTCTACAGATTCAGGAACACTGCCACACTTACTGAGGGGAGGCATTAATGTGGTCTACAGATTCAGGAACACTGCCACACTGAGAGGGGCATTAATGTGGGTCTACAGATTCAGGAACACTGCCACACTTATTGAGGGGAGGCATTAATGTGGTCTACAGATTCAGGAACACTGCCACACTTACTGAGGGGGCATTAATGTCTACAGATTACAGATTCAGGAACACTGCCACACTTACTGAGGGAGGCATTAATGTGGTCTACAGATTCAGGAACACTGCCACACTTACTGAGGGGGCATTAATGTGGTCTACAGATTCAGGAACACTGCCACACTTACTGAGGGAGGCATTAATGTGGTCTACAGATTCAGGAACACTGCCACACTTACTGAGGGGGGCATTAATGTGGTCTACAGATTCAGGAACACTGCCACACTTACTGAGGGAGGCATTAATGTGGTCTACAGATTCAGGAACACTGCCACACTTACTGAGGGGGCATTAATGTGGTCTACAGATTCAGGAACACTGCCACACTTACTGAGGGGGGCATTAATGTGGTCTACAGATTCAGGAACACTGCCACACTTACTGACTTGGGGGGGGCATTAATGTGGTCTACAGATTCAGGAACACTGCCACACTTACTGAGGGGGCATTAATGTGGTCTACAGATTCAGGAACACTGCCACACTTACTGAGGGGGCATTAATGTGGTCTACAGATTCAGGAACACTGCCACACTTACTGAGGGAGGCATTAATGTGGTCTACAGATTCAGGAACACTGCCACACTTACTGAGGAACACTGGCATTAATGTGGTCTACAGATTCAGGAACACTGCCACACTTACTGAGGGGGCATTAATGTGGTCTACAGATTCAGGAACACTGCCACACTTACTGAGGGGGCATTAATGTGGTCTACAGATTCAGGAACACTGCCACACTTACTGAGGGGGCATTAATGTGGTCTACAGATTCAGGAACACTGCCACACTTACTGAGGGAGGCATTAATGTGGTCTACAGATTCAGGAACACTGCCACACTTACTGAGGGGGGGCATTAATGTGGTCTACAGATTCAGGAACACTGCCACACTTACTGAGGGAGGCATTAATGTGGTCTACAGATTCAGGAACACTGCCACACTTACTGAGGGGGCATTAATGTGGTCTACAGATTCAGGAACACTGCCACACTTACTGAGGGGGCATTAATGTGGTCTACAGATTCAGGAACACTGCCACACTTACTGAGGGGGCATTAATGTGGTCTACAGATTCAGGAACACTGCCACACTTACTGAGGGGGCATTAATGTGGTCTACAGATTCAGGAACACTGCCACACTTACTGAGGGAGGCATTAATGTGGTCTACAGATTCAGGAACACTGCCACACTTACTGAGGGGGCATTAATGTGGTCTACAGATTCAGGAACACTGCCACTTACTGAAGGGGGCATTAATGTGGTCTACAGATTCAGGAAAACTGCCACTTACTGAGGGGGGCATTAATGTGGTCTACAGATTCAGGAAAACTGCCACTTACTGAGGGGGGCATTAATGTGGTCTATAGAAGCTATGATGTGGATTCCTCGTACTTGAGCCAACAGACTGAGTAGGTTCTGGGTCTTCTCACCACGCAACATGGACCCATCAATGTTGTGAATGATCAAGTAAAAATCTTGATACTCTGAAACGAAACATGCTGAGTACAGGTTTTATCCTACAACATGAGACTGAGTGAGAGGCCCTCATCACTGTACCACAAGAAACAAATGCAGTATTACATTGCTGTAGCATGTTTGTATTGTGTATACCTTCCTATATGGGTATGCTAGGTTGGTCCCAAATAGCTGCCCACCAAACACTTAAGGAGGTCCTATAAATGTTACCCATCAAATACTGGTATGCTAGGTTCATCCTATGTATGTTACCCATCAAATACTGGTATGCTAGGTTCGTCCTATGTATGTTACCCATCAAATACTGGTATGCTAGGTTCGTCCTATGTATGTTACCCATCAAATACTGGTATGCTAGGTTCGTCCTATGTATGTTACCCATCAAATACTGGTATGCTAAGTTCGTCCAATGTATGTTACCCATCAAATGTTGGTATGCTAAGTTCATCCTATGTACGTTACCCATCAATGTTGGTATGCTAGGTTGGTCCATTGTATGTTACTGATCAAATACTGGTATGCCAAGTTGATCCTATGTACATTACCCATCAAATGTTGGTATGCTAGGTTGGTCAATGTACATTACCCATCAAATGTTGGTATGCTAGGTTGGTCCTATGTACATTACCCATCAAATACTGGTATGCCAAGTTGGTCCTATGTATGTTACCCATCAAATACTGGTATGCCAAGTTGGTCCTATGTACATTACCCATCAAATACTGGTATGCCAAGTTGGTCCAATGTACATTACCAATCAAATACTGGTATGCCAAGTTGGTCCTATGTACATAACCCATCAAATGTTGGTATGCTAGGTTGGTTCTATGTACATTATCCATCAAATGTTGGTATGCTAAGTTCATCCTGTGTACATTACCCATCAAATACTGGTATGCTAAGTTCGTCCTGTGTACATTACCGATCAAATGTTGGTATGCTAGGTTGGTCCTATGTACATTACCCATCAAATGTTGGTGCTAAGTTCATCCTGTGTACATTACCCATCAAATACTGGTATGCTAAGTTCGTCCTGTGTACATTACCCATCAAATACTGGTATGCTAAGTTCGTCCTGTGTACATTACCGATCAAATGTTGGTATGCCAAGTTGGTCCTATGTACATTACCCATCAAATACTGGTATGCCAAGTTGGTCCAATGTACATTACCAATCAAATACTGGTATGCCAAGTTGGTCCTATGTACATAACCCATCAAATGTTGGTATGCTAGGTTGGTTCTATGTACATTATCCATCAAATGTTGGTATGCTAAGTTCATCCTGTGTACATTACCCATCAAATACTGGTATGCTAGGTTCGTCCTATGTACATTACCCATCAAATGTTGGTATGCTAGGTTGGTCCTATGTACATTACCCATCAAATGTTGGTATGCTAAGTTCATCCTGTGTACATTACCCATCAAATACTGGTATGCTAAGTTCGTCCTGTGTACATTACCCATCAAATACTGGTATGCTAAGTTCGTCCTGTGTACATTACCGATCAAATGTTGGTATGCTAGGTTGGTCCTATGTACATTACCCATCAAATGTTCGTATGTTAAGTTAGTCCCATTTACGTTACCCATCGTTAGCCCTGGATTCGCTATCCAATCAAACACTGGTATGCTAAGTTAGTCCTACATAGTTACCCATCAAATGCTCACATGTTCTGTTGGTCCTATGTAAGTTACCCATCAAATGTTGACTGAAATGTTAAAATCAAATGTTAAACTTTGAACCAAATGGTATTTTTTCCCAGTTTGCCTGCTAAGGGCACTTGATTAGGTTCCTATCTATCAAATATGGCCTGTCCAGTTGGTCCTACCTGAGTTTTCAAAGTGCCTCCTGATGTACTCATACTGATCGGCAGGTGTGCGGATATGCACCTCATCTTCAATAATCTCATCTATAATACAGGACAGGATCTGGAAGAACAAGCATTACCTCAAACCTTGTAGGGAGTGAGTCAGTGAGTTTAGTTTTACGCCGCACTCAGCAATATTCCAGCTATATGGCGGCGGTCTGTAAATAATCGAGTCTGGACCAGACAATCCAGTGATAAACAGCATGAGCATCGATCTGCGCAATTGGGAACCGATGACATGTGTCAACCAAGTCAGCGAAACTGACCACCCGATCCCGTCAAACCTTGTAGGGAGTGAGTGTGGTTTATGCTGCTTTCTGCAATAAACCAGCAATATCACATTGTACCTACTAGTATGTGGGGAAACCAGGTTTTTAGCATGACAAGCAATTGTTTTAACCACTACCCTATCATGCCCCCATTACTGTTTAGAAATGGAAGACATTGAAAGAATGATTATTTGATGATAAACAGAATCTTGCCTTTGTATAAATTGATATCAAATCCATGAATATAAGTCGATATAAGTTTATACACAAAGGCTTCAGCGTTGAAATTATCTCTTCTCAGGTAACATGTAATTACTATGGTTACCTAGCAAAAATATGTAATTTTCTGACTAAAATTGATATTTTATACTTATCCTGACTCATGCTAATTATGCTTGTCTCCTTCCTCTTGCAAATGATAGTGGAACACTTGAAATCCCTTGAAGTTCCCTTCTAAAAAAGCGGACGTAAAATCACTCACCCACGAGTAGCGTCCCTTTCCACCCTTTTGGCGCCCAAATGGTCACATGATCGGCCATATTTGTCACTCTCTCCGTATGTAAGCCAGACACCCGGATTTACATGGAAATCCAGAGTGCCATAAGAGGAGAGGTTGGGAGGGCTAACCTCATGAGTCAGGATAAGTATAAAATATCAGTTTTAGTCAGAAAATTACATATTTTTCCTTATCCTGACTCATGCTAATTATGCTTGCAGAATCCGTCGGAAACAGTGGTGGGTCAAGCCACTTCTGGATTCACTGGTTGTAGATTCACGTCCTTGGGAACTTATGATGGCACTGTTGAAGATTCTGTTCTTTCAACTTCTCTCTGATGAGTCTGGGGGGACCACAACTTGTCAGATTTCTTACGAAACTTCTCCTGACATTTTCGTGTGGATTTTAGATATACTAATATTCCATTAGTTATCTATTGCAACTCCATCTCTTAATGCGCGCATCAAGTGGAGATGCGACCCTTCTTCATGTTCAAGTATGTCCTATACAAATACAGGGTCTATCACTCATGCTAGTCTGTCCTAGACGTGTGCATGGACTTAAAGCCATTGCTCTCCAGAGCGTTGATAAAAGTCACGTTATAAAAGGGGTGAGATTTACTCAGCGCCTTTGTGGAACCGTTAGTTGTTGTGCTACAACAAGTGGCCCAAAATGGTGAATGCCTGAGACGTCTTCGGTGGCAATGTCTCCGAGGTAGTGGTTGGCAAACACCGTGTTCGATCTCCAAAAGCAGCTCTCCATTATAGTTGTAATCGAGCAGTTTCCATGCAGAGCAAGTGTTGACGCCAGGGCTCTGACTTCATGTGGATTGGAGGCTTGTGGAGGCTCGTGGAGGCTCAAGTCCTGCTGCTTTATAGGCCCTTAGTATAACGGCTCTCATCCAGATCGATATCGTTGTCCGAGAGACTTCCGTGGGTGCCTCGGTGGATAAGGGGATGAATAGGCGCTTGAATTTTCGTCTCCTTGTTTTAGTTCTCAGTAAGTAGACTTTAAGTGCTCTGACTGGGCATAAGGATAGATCCTGTGTATCCTGTGGCCCTGTAGATAGTGCTTGGATGTGGAACTGTCTGTCAGGCTGACCAGGCAGTTGGTTCTTGGCGATAAAATCCCATCTCAGTCCAAGATGTATGACGTCACGATGTCTTGATTCAAATTGTGTTCGTTCAAAGTCCAGAGCATGTATTTCTGACATCCTTGCAGCTGTTGCTAGGGCGATCAGGAACAGCGTTTTCTGAGTTAGTAGTTCAAAGGATGTCCTTTCTAGAGGCTCGTAGGCATCACTGGTGAGATGTTGTAGAACTATGTTGAGATCCCAGGCAGGAGCCTTAAATTTCTTTGTTGGTCTTCCAACTTGAACGAGCGTAGTCAGCTTTGGTCAGCTTGATACCCGTTTTCATGGTGGTAAGTGTACTGAGGGCAGCTAAATAAGTTGAGAGTGTTGAACCGCCACTTGAGGATGTGTTGCTTTCACCGCTGTAAAGCCTTTCCTCTTTGCATATTGTTCAAATCTCTGCCACTTGTCGTCGTACGAGTACAATCTGCGTAGAGCTAGTGTAACTGCTTTCGCTGCTATGGCGGAGTACCCTCTAGTCTTCAGGCAAGCTTTAATACGCTCCACGCGTGTAGCTGGAACAGTGTCGGGTTCCCATGAGCTTGCTTGGTGTGTGGATGGACGAGTAGGTTCGACCACTCTGGTAGTTTCAGGGTTGGACTTCCGAGTTCTTGTATGAGGATGGGAAACCATACCCTCGCTGGCCAATAGGGCGCAACAAAAATCAGTAGTCGTCTGCTTGATTTTCTGTAGTACTTGTGGTAGCAGTGCAGGAGGCGGAAACGCCTAAGCATTTAGTCCTTCCCATGAGATGCTTAGAGCGTCTGTTGCCCATGCCCGCGGATCTGGAATCGGTGAGACGAACGTTGGTAGCTGTTTGTTGAACTTTGTTGCAAACAGGTCTATAGGGGGGATCCTATAGTCTGTCTGATGAACTGGAATGCTTCTGGATGCAACATCCATTCCGTCGGGGATTGTTGTAGTGGACGAGATAGGGCGTCTGCTATGACATTCTTTGCTCCTGGAATGTGGCATGCCTTCATGTAGATGTTCAGGTAGTCGACTATGCTGAACAGGAGAAAGCTGAGTTGTAGCAGACTTATTGATCTTGTTGATCCTTGTTTGTTGATGTAAAACACCACTGTGGAGTTGTCCGTGTGGACCATGAGTCATGCGTTCTTTAGTAAGCTGGACCAATGTTGTAAAGCGTTGATTACTGCTTTCATCTCCAACAGATTGATGTGTGACTTCTGATCCTGACTCCACCACTTCCCTGCTGCCACTTCGTTGTTGAAGTGCACACCCAATCCTTGTAGGGAGGCATCCACGAAGTGATGAGTGTTGCACACCGGCTCTGACAAAAAGGTTCCTCCACAAACGTTCGAGATATGATTTCAGGCTGTCCGGTAGTATTAACGGATCTAGACTGTCTAGGTGGGCGTTCACAAATACTTGTAGTGGGCGCAACTGTAATCACCCTCTGCGAGTCATGTCTTGAGCTGAAGTGAGTAGACCGAGCATGCTTTGCCAAGCACATAGTGTCAACGGAGAGAGCAATGCTTGAGATATCATATGTTGTATCTTGACCCAACGATCCTCTGGACGACTATGCCATTCACTGGTGTGATGAGTCGAATTCCTAGAAACTTAACCAAACCTGCAGAGGTTTTCAATTCTTTGAAGAGAGTCGTCCTTGGGGTACATATTATGCATTTTCCGGCTGAAAAATGTCCTGTGACAGTTGTATCAATGTTTTTTGAATAAAAAGATTGTACAATAAATAAACTCTTTTATTTATTATACGGACCCTACCTCACGGAGTTACCTCCCTTAGAGCATGCGCACCAACTGGGTAGGCTCCTAGACCCGTATCATCATTCCTTCTGCTGAATTCTTATCAGTGAACAGAATTGCGGGGAGGTGGGAGGCCCTACCCCAGGGCGACTCTCTTCAAAGAATTGAAAACCTCTGCAGGTTTGGTTAATTCTTTTCAGAGATCGTCCTTGGGGTACATATTATGCATAAACACAGACTCCCAAAGACCGGAGGCCAGGGAGGAGGAATTCTGTCCAAGCACACTCAAAATATAGCGATCATTATCATGGAAAAAAAATTGAACAGGCGCCATAACACTCACCTGTCACTCGACCCAGTTTAAGCTTCGCGAGAGGCATTATGGGAGGAACTGACAGGGAGGATTTGTGCTCAAAGGCGACCTCTAGCATAATGAGACATTGCGTAGTGCGAATATCAACGAAATCCGACCCACTAAGTGGCTTCTTTCATGAGAGAGCACCGTGGGGAAAACAAAATACCACTCACTAACGATACAGTAACTCCGTAGAGAATCGAAGGGGTACAGGTTCTCTGAGTGAGCTCACATTAGCAGACATGTCAATAATGGAATCTTATTGTACAGTAGCGTCAAAACAAACCAATAAACCAAGACTCACTTTCGGTCAGGGTGGCAGGACACTGTCCACTGGAGAGAACAGTACGACCAAAGTTTGCGATTACGGAATGCGTATCGAGCTGATAATGGCGTATAAAGCGTGCTTGGCGGCTCCAAATAGCGGCGGAGCAGATCTCTTCAATGGGGAGTGCCGATGCAAAAGCTTTGATGCGGCTACTGCCCTGACCGAGTGAGCCTTCAACCCCTCAGGGGAGGCTTGCCCTTAGCCTGATAAGCGGCACAAATACGATACTAGCCAGCGAGACAAAGTCTGCTTGCTGCGCTGGCAGACCAGCCTTCCGCCACCGTAACAACAGAACAGCTGGGTACCCGTCACGGATCCCCTGCGTTCGTTTGAGATAGACTTTGGCGTCTTCACGGACATCCAGCGGGTGAGTGCTTTCGTAGGAGTGGTCCCGATGTGGAAGGCTGGGTAAGAGTAGGAAGTTCGATAGGAGCTGTCACATGGAAGCGTGATCGACCCCGATTCGGTAAAGTATCTGGGGGCGAATACTGACCACGATCCGTGTGAAACACAGTCAGCGCCGGGTCCGGACGACATAGCATGTAAATCGCCGACCCGCCGACCAGATGTTACCGCCACCAGAAAAACAGCTTTCCAGGTCAACAACTGAATGGAAATAGCCGATAGGTGTGAAAGTGGGACGGACAGCCAATCGAGCCACGATCGACAAATCCCAAGGTGGACTGGTTAGCCTGAGAGCAGGTCGAATCCGTTCAGCGCCAGCGAAAGCTATGCGAGAGGTGCTGC